GTGTATGTGTGTGAATGTGTGTGTATGTGTGTGTATGTGTGTGTATGTGTGTGTATGTGTGTGTATGTGTGTGTATGTGTGTGTATGTGTGTGTGTGTGTGTGTGTGTGTGTGTGTGTGTATGTGTGTGTATGTGTGTGTATGTGTGTGTATGTGTGTGTATGTGTGTGTATGTGTGTGTATGTGTGTGTATGTGTGTGTGTGTGTGTGTGTGTGTGTATGTGTGTGTATGTGTGTGTATGTGTGTGTATGTATATGTATGTGTGTGTGTGTATGTATGTGTGTGTATGTGTGTGTATGTCTATGTATGTGTATGTGTATGTATGTGTGTGTTTAAGTGTGTGAAAAAACAGTTATATATATTTATTTTATTTGAATCATCAATGATTGTAATCATCATAAAATTTATTATAACTGATTCATCTATAGTCACACTATAATAAATATTTAAAAAAATAAAAAATTTATTTTTTTTCACAAAAATAAATAAGTAAATAAAAAATACATTAGTAATTACTAATTCATTCATTTATTTATTTATTTATTAATACTAATAAATATATTTTTTTACTTTTAAGTAAAATAAAATCTTTAAAAAATCATAAAATAAGATAAAAATATAAATATATTGTAAATATTTTAATCTCAAGGATTATACTTTAGTTTTACATTGCAATAACAAATAGTTGTTATTTTTCTTATATATATATATATATATATATATATATATATAACTTTATATATAATAAATAAAATTTAAATCATATTTCACAAAAATTTCTTATTTTTTGCAACAAATTTTTTAAGAAAAAATATTATCATTGAATGAATAATTATTTTTTTGTAACTAAATTAATGATAATTTTTTTTAATTTGATTTACATTAATAGCTGTACTTTATGAAGTTTTAAAAAAATATTATTATGTATTTTATAATTAAATAATATTTATGTTACAGTATATTGTAATATATATATATAATGAGTTATTAACTAAAAACAAATAAATATATATTCAAAATATTTATTTTATTGTGTTTAACGTATATTTTAAACAATAGTATTTAATTTAATTTTTTTTAATAATAAAATATTATAATATTATTATTATTAAATTTAAGTTAGAGAAACTTTTGAAACTAATTTTAATTACTAATGTATTTTATTTTAATTAATATGTAAATTAAAAGTTTATATACAGTTTTATATTTTTATTAGCCATTAATATATATATATATTATCTACAAAATATAAAACTATTAAAAATAATAGTTTTTTACATGTTTTTTTTGCAATCTATATTTTAATTGAATATATATATATAAGTTTTAACATAAAAATGTCATAAATTTTCAAAAACAAAAAAAAATGACATCAAACTCATCCGTCAATTTTGATAATGATCTCAATATTACAGTTGTAATAAAAAAATATATATACAAACCATTAAACATTAAAAAAATATTTGTTAAATGATTAGATAATTATATAAAATATACTATTTTTTTATTTTAACGACATCAACAATATCATTGAATATATAATTAATTGATTATATACTGTAGTAGTATTTAATACTATTTAAATTTAAAATTAAAAAAATTACATTGAGTTATATTTTAAATAATTTTTTTTAATAAAAAATATATATCTGGTCACAGTAAATTTATAATTAATTATATAAAAAAAATTTAGTAATTTTTATGTCAATATTAAAATATTAATTTTTTTAAATGTAAAATAGTATTTTGAAATTATATATATTTTTTCAAACAATGTATTTAATAGTACAATTGTTTTTATTATTATTATTAGATTATTAATTTTGCAACAATAATATACAGTAAATATAATTTTATTTATATATAATATATACTAATAATAAATACATTTAATTTTTTTTATAATTTTA